CTATTTTTTTCAGTCTTGTTGTACATGTAGGGCCATATTTATAAAACCAAAATCAGATGATATTTCCAGCAAAGTGCTGGGTAAGGAAAGAGTAGCAAGTATCAGGCCAATAGCAAGTTCTCCACCCACCCACGACCCCACCAATGAGAAGCAATCATTCTGTCTTTATGTTATTAGCACCATGCCAGTCACATATTTTGAGACTGTCTGCAATACATCTCTCACTTACTTTAGTGCAAGATAAGTGACAAGTCAATGTACATACAGTGGCGTCTCTTGGATTAATTTTTAGGGGGGGGCACATGGAGAGCCAGGGACAAAAGGAGGGGGGCACATATAACCCCGCCCTCGCCACTGTTTGACCCCGCCCCCAACACAAATTGTTTTTGTTTTTTAATAAACCCTGGTGGAGGATTCATTATTTTCCACCAGGGATTGTTAAAAAAACACATTACCCTTGATACAGTGCCATAGTTGCCAACATTTGAAAAAAAATTTCCAAGGACATTTTGCAGCACAGCTATCAATTACAGTCTGGGTATAATATCCCTGGGCAGTCAGTGCTCTCTGTATAATACAGGGTTGTGTGTATAATAAATTGGGACACTCAGTGCTCCCTGTATAGTGCTGCTCTCTGTATAATACAGGTCTGTTTGTGTATAATATCCCAAGACAGAAAGCAGCACTATACAGGGAGCACTGACTGTCCCGGGATATTATACATGCACAGGCCTGTATTATACAGAGAGCAGCACTATACAGGAAGCACTGACCATCCCAGGATATTATATACACACAGATCTGTATTATACAGATAGCTGAGCATATACCCCATGTCCCAATCTCTAGACTACTAGTACCTGTCAACAGCAGCTCCCAGACGTGTGTAACAGGGCTAAAGTGTGCGGCAGCTCACACAGATGATTCAGCGGTAAAGTGCACTCGCTGGCAGAGCCAAACTGGGAATCCCTGGGAATCCAAAGTACCCCTGGAAAAAAAAATGTATGCCATTCCTACAAGTCTATATATATATATATATATATATATATATATATATATATATATATATAATACACAAGATCCAGCGCACTCACCTATCCACTAAACAGCAACTTCAATGTTGAAAGATTTTATTTGTTTTTTTTAAAACACCTAATCTAGGCAAAAATAATGGGGGTTTAGTTACATTATATGATCATACATTGCATAAGCCTGCCACAACGTCAATGTACCCCATCTTTGGCAGGTCCTACACTAACAGCCTAATGTCTGCTCTTATGAGATTAACCTACTTGGGGAAAGAAATTCCATCTGGGGCTCTCTGCAGTACAAGGCTAAATAGGGCCCTGGGATGAGGCACCTGTGACAGGGAGGGGTGCAAAACCAAGGAGTTGGCTAGACTCCCAAATATATATAAAACAAGAGGGGGTTGGCTGCACTCACCTTAACATGCATAAATGGGGGTGCTGCTGGGGGCCAAATAATACAATACACAAGATCCAGCGCACTCACCTATCCACTAAACAGCAACTTCACCTAAGCTGTCACAGGTGCCTCATCCCAGGGCCCTATTTAGCCTTGTGCTGCAGAGAGCCCCAGATGGAATTTCTTTCCCCAAGTAGGTTAATCTCATAAGAGCAGACATTAGGCTGTTAGTGTAGGACCTGCCAAAGATGGGGTACATTGACGTTGTGGCAGGCTTATGCAACTGTATGATCATATAATGTAACTAAAACCCCATTATTTTTGCCTAGATTAGGTGTTTTTAAAAAAACAAATAAAATCTGTCAACATTGAAGTTGCTGTTTAGTGGATAGGTGAG